GGGCTCGTGCGGCTGCTCCCGGCGGCTCAGACGTGGCAAGTCCCGGCCGGGCTCGCGGTGCGGCGATGAAATCGCCCCGGTTGGGAACATGCGCCCCACGCTCTTCTTCCCGTCACGCCAAAGTTCCGCCCGCCGCTCGGGCCCAGCTCCCCGCCCAGAGCCGCCTCAGGCCCCGCGCCGCTCAGCCTGTGCTGCTGCTCCGGCCTGCCCTGCTTCTTCGCGGCGGGCCCTGTGGGTGCCCCAGCACTGCGCATCCAAATACCGAAGGTGGAGCACCCACAGGGCCGCCGCTATCAAAGAACTGCAGTTACTGCAGAGGGTGCGTGACCCTCTCTTCTCTCCAGCCTGGCGAGCATTCACCTCTCTCAGATGAAGTGATGAAACAAAAGGAAGGGGAGTTTTACTTACTCCCTAAAACGTCAGTCACAACGGCCCTAAACTTCCCCTGGACCCCATAGACTATCGCAGTGTTTCTCAAACTGTGCTCCACGGAGCAAAGAACTGCAGTTACTGCAGAGGGTGCGTGACCCTCTCTTCTCTCCAGCCTGGCGAGCATTCACCTCTCTCAGATGAAGTGATGAAACAAAAGGAAGGGGAGTTTTACTTACTCCCTAAAACGTCAGTCACAACGGCCCTAAACTTCCCCTGGACCCCATAGACTATCGCAGTGTTTCTCAAACTGTGCTCCACGGAGCCCCAGGGCTCCTCAAGACATCTCCAGGGTCTCCCCGAGGTTGACAAACTGGAAACATGGATAGGTACAACACAGAATCAGTGGACTGCTGGGGCTCCGCATAAATTTTTACACATGTAAAGGGATCCGGAGCCCAAAAAGTTTGAGAACCGCGGACCATAGTGTCTCCTGCTGCTAGATTTCCCACTTTCCCCAGATTAAGGGATTGCCTTCCAAATCACCCAGGCTACAGAAGCCAAAAAAACCCAAACAAAACCAGGCCCCCCAGGTAATACCTAGATGTAGGGTTGCCAGGTGTCCAGTATTCTACCAGACAGTCTGGTATTTGCACTCTTTGTCCGGTAAAAAAAATCAGATTCTCTGATTTTTCCAGCTGCGCACCGGACGGAAGCCTGGCAGGGGCGGGGGGAGCGGCTGGAAAGTGGGGCCACGATCAGCGGTAGGAGCCTGTGATTGCGCAGAAGCCTGGAAGGGGCAGGGGGTGTGGCTGGGGCTCCCCGGCCACCCCCCCCCCCCCGCGCCCATCGTGGCCCCGCCTCCTAGCCTGGGAGTCCCAGCTAGGAGGCAGGACAGTGATCACCCCTCTGGGCACTTCAGAAGCCTAGCCAGGGCGGGGGGAGTGGCTGGGACTTTGAAGTAGGAATAAGATCCTCCGGAAAAGGGCTTTTTTTCCGGAGGATCGGGGCCAGTGTAGACGCTCTTTTCCGGCTTTTCTAAAAGCCGGAAAAAAGCGGCGGACATTTTTATTTAAATGCTGCGGGGGATATTTAAATCCCCCGCGCATTTCCCTATTGCGATTTCAAAAATTACCATGCCCCTTCCGGAAAAGGGGCCAATGTAGACGTAGCCTAGGAGGTTAGAGCTGGCATTAACAGGTGAGTAATACACAGAATAGTGCACAGGGTACAACCATGTTGTTAAATAGGCCAAAATTTCAACTGAAACAGCCTCAAACTTGGTGGAAGTTAACATCTGGTTAAAACTATCGTGGTTTGGGACTATCTTTGTAATCATCTGAACCAAAACCCCAGTTCCAAACACTGCTAAACTTTGGCCAGCACGCACTAGTCTTTCTAATACTACTGGTTGAGAGCCATGGCTATGGTATTGGGGTTACACCAAGGAAAACAGAGCCCTGACTTCCAATTTTGCAAATAACTGTTAAAAGTATCTTCCAGTTGTTAGGAAACCATTGTTAGTATCTAAAAGGTTAGTCTGTCAAAACTGCTACCTGTAATGAATGTTCCAGTCCTGTAATGAGCTTCTATGCAGCCACATAGAGCTCATAGCTGGAGTAGAGTTTATGGGAGGAAAAGTCTCCTGGATTCTAAATGCACTTAGGCTACGTTTAGACTGTCATGATTTTCCGCAAATGCTTTTGACGGAAAAGTTTTCCGTTTAAAGCATTTGCGGAAAAGAGTGTCTAAATTGGCACAGACACTTTTCCGCAAAAGCACTTTTTGTGGAAAAGCGTCCGTGCCAATCTAGACGCGCTTTTCCGCAGAAAAAGCCCCTATTGCCATTTTCGCGATCGGGGCTTTTTTGCACAAAACAAATGTGAGCTGTCTACACTGGCCCTTTTGCGCCAAAGCTTTGCACAAAAGGACTTTTGCCTGAACGGGAGCAGCATAGTATTTCTGCAAGAAGCACTGATTTCAGACAGTAGGAAGTCAGTGTTCTTGCGAAAATTCAACCAGCCACTTTAGACAGCTGGCAAGTTTTTCCACAAAAGCAGCTGATTTTGCGAAAAAACTTGCAAGTCTAGACGCAGCCTTAAAGTCTGCTGGTCCCTAAACAAGAGTTTTGCCTTTTTGCATCTCAAACCAATCAATAAAAGGAATTTCTGTGGCCATTGTGTACAGAATAATTGCATATGTGAAACCCTAGATGGCCACAGACTTGTTATGGTATAACAACAAAATTTTAATCTGTAACTTCAAAAGGCTCAAAGTAATAAAAAGGAGGGCAATAATATATAACAACTTCCCTTGTAAAAAATGTTACTGAACATCTAATGCCAAAAATATATACATAAGAGAAGAAATAACTGTAGAGGAAAGTAGTAGTCATAACAGAAATCTTGTGGAGGAGGGAGAATGTTTTGAGATATCAGTTATGAAGGGGGGGAAGATCTCTGACTAATGTAAAGGGGGTGATGCAATTACTCAATAACTTAAGATACAACGGAGGCACTTTAAGACAATATTTGCAGAACAGCCCTTGACCTAGAAGACGGTGGAGTCTAGTGGAGAGATCCATGGGAATGAAAGTTAGGCATTTCTGATCCTGGCACTCCAACTGATCAACTTGGAGAATTTGGGCAAGTTTGTTTAATCTTTCTCTATCTACCTTTCTCCATCTGTAAAGTATTGGGAATGATACTTCTTTTTTTTTTTTTTTTTTTTTTTTTTGTAAAGTGCTTTGGGATTTTCAGTTGAAAAATTGTATTTAAGAGCTAATATTGAAACCCCATGAGCAAAAAGATCTATTTACATTAAGCTGCTGCAACTTCACGGGCAGCCAACCTGAAGACTGAGGGGGAAGTGTAACATGATTATAGGTTTCTGAAAGCAGTGCTCCTGCATAGGAATGTGAAAGATTATCTAGTTAACTGGCTAATCAGTAAACATCACCCTAAATGGGTAATGCTTATTGGTTTCATTTAACCATGGGGCAGGAGCAGCTCCCTACCTGCCCCAGGCTGGCCAGAGCAACCCCTCTTGGTGGCGGGCCCAGCATCCCTACCACAGGTTACATGCTGGCTCAGAAGGTGGCTTTGTTATGGCAGTGAAGCTTCTCTGGGAACAGGCTGCAGCCCCACTTCTGGGGAGACTTTGCTGTGGGCTTTATTTAAGCTTTATACTACACAGAAGCAGTGCATGTGATGGTGTAACTACTAAGATTCCAGTGGTTACACAATTACCTTTTTAACCAACTTTTTACATCCATATT